GTGTGTGTGTGTGTGTGTGTGTGTGTGTGTGTGTGTGTGTGATGCTGTTTCCCATCCAATCAGGTCAAAGTAGATCATGCAGACAAAGTTTAATTAAAGCAGAGCAGCAAGAGTAAACTCAGTAATCTCATCACTATACACCAAGCTTTAATGGTCTGAGACACACATTCTCTCTCATACACACACACACATACACACCATCCTGCAGCTATAGAGTAATTTTAGTGTATTTTTAAAAATATATTTGTCTATGTAAATCGGTTTTCTAATTCATTTTGTTTGTTTTTTTCACAACATGGAAAATAAACAGAAAAATGGTTTGAACTGTGCTGTACAGATTAAAAGCCTTCTCTTTAACAGATTACTGTCTGCAGCAGCAGACTGAATGATCTGAATGTAAAAACTAAAACCCAGCCCTGTTACAGAAGCAGATTTCCCCTCTGCAGAACATCCAGGTATGGAGTCCAGCTTGGTAGAAGCTGTGTTGAAACATGCTGACAGTGAAGTGTGCRGATTACTCTGAGGATCGGGGACATTGTGTGTAGAAATAACAATGTCAAGATAATCTTACCAGAAAGCCTTTCTGTCTCTGCCTGTGTCTGAGAAATGTGAAGCTCTTAATAAAAAAATCGATACAGTGCTTTAGAATAACGATACTGTATCAGGAAATGAAATATCGCGATATTTCAGTGTATCGATATTTTCTTACAGCCCTAGTCAAAAGTGTCTGTCGGCAAAATATCTCTTCAATCACTGGACAAACTTTAATGAAGKTTTTAGAAAACAGTATTTGGCTGTACATCTACAACTATTTTATTTAAATCAACCTAATTCAAGATGGTTGACAAAGCCAACTGATGTTTGGAAACACTAAAATGTCTATAACTATCAGTTTTATAAATACTTAGCTAAAAGTTGATATGGTAGCAGTTGAGAGTCATTCCCACAATATACTCTGAGTGCCAACACTTTTCACAACATCTCCCAGTGTCACATAAGGTTAGGCATAAGGTCATAAATGAGGTTTGACCAAAATGTCTCTAACTCTGTCTCTTCTCAAAATAAGATGCTTTCAATTTAAATGTCAATTAAAAGGTGTTGGATGTGAAGCATTCCGACAAGAAACTTTAAATTTGAATGTGAAATAATTAAAGTTTTTTTCTTCTGGCTGACACTACCCCTCTTCCTCCTCTTCTAGCTGCTTGTGGGGGTTTCTTCAGGAACATCACGGTTGGTCGAATTGTCTCTCCGGGTTTTCCCACCAACTACAGCAATAACCTGACCTGCCACTGGCTGCTGGAAGCCCCTGAGGGTCAGAAGCTGCACATTCACTTTGAGAAGGTGGCTTTAGCTGAGGATGATGATCGGTAAGCTTTGGTAAATACATAAATGGATGTACTTAAGGGTTTTATAATCTGTTGTGGTGGAGTCACCAGGAAGAAAGATAAAAATTGTGACTTTATCTGAAATTGTCATCATTCTTCATCTGTTGACTGACGGCTCAGATTATCAGACTGTTAAGACAGTTTTATTTCTGCCTTCAGTCAAAATGAGAATCTTTGAAAATGATGCATTCAGTCATCTGCWTACAAATGTTTCTTTTTACAGTAACACATTAACATTGCTTCGGAGCACTGCAACTCTGTCAGCAGATACATATATACGCTGAAAAATAAACTTGTAAGATTTACTTGAAAAAATCCTCTAACAAATTTGCACTTACATTTGTTAAGTAAATTTAAATGCTACAAATTCATGAAATATTTACTCATCATTATCT